CGGCACTCTTGCAAACGACGTCTAAAATTGTCGATGACTGCGCGGCACGTCACTGCTGAAATGCTTGTCATTTCTCTGCGGATGTTTTCTTTTAGGGCCTCAATTGACCGCGGGTTTGTGTCGTATACTTTAGCCTTAAGTTAGCCCCACAAAAAAAAATCCATCGGGGTCAGATCTGGACTACGTGCAGGCCAGGAAATGTCTCCTCTCTTAGAGATCACTTTGCCAGGAAAAAGTTGACGGATAACGGGCATAGCAGTGTTAGAGGTGTGAGAAGTGGCCCCATCCTGTTGAAACCACGTCCTGGCATTAAAGCCTGAAAAGTTTTGCAATTCTGGTATGAAAAACTCTTCGATCATAGCCACATATCGCTCCGACGTAACAGTAACTGCGCGCCCTCTGCCATCCTCAAAGAAGTAAGGCCCTAGGATACCATGGGCTGACATAGCGGCCCAAACAGTCACTTTCGGACTATGTAAGGGCTTCTGATGCTTAAGTTTTGGATTGATGGGGCTCCAATAGCGGCAATTTTGTTTACTAACATTCCCGTTAAGATGGAAATGAGCCTCGTCAGAGAACATTATGTTGTTGAAGGAAGTAAACCGATTCAACATTTCATTCGCATAATTTTGTCTTTGAATACCATCAGTTTCCTTTAATTCTTGAACCAACTGAATTTTGTAAGGGTGCATATGTAAATCTTTCTTCAAAATCCGTTGTAACGATGTCCTGGATACGTTTAATGCTCTGGCGCGCTTACGAGTTGACTGTGTCGGATTTTCGCGAATAGACTGTGTCACTGTGTCTATGTTTTGTTCCGTACGTGACGTCCTTGGGCAACCCAACCGCGGTTTATCTAACGTCGAACCGGTCTCCTCGAACTTAGCAACCCAGTTCTTAATCGTTTGAAGAGTTGGAGTGTCGTCAAAGTTGTGTAAACCTTTGTGTTCTCGAAATTTACGCCGCGCAACGGTTGCCGAATTGTCGTTTTTATAAAACTCGCGCACACAAAACGCACGGTCCGCTCCGGTAAAACGCTCCATCGCGACTAAATTCCCAGAAACCGAAGTTACTTCCCCCGCTTCCCCTGCACCGCTCACGCGCGCCCTGTTCGTTTTATTCAAATTTTACTTTTCAAAGGACTTATGGGCCACCCTGTATTACAACGATATTATCACAATTTTTATAAAAAAAAAGGAGAATTACGTTTTATACAAGAAATTACTAATAAAAATGTTGAAGACTTGGTCTGGGAAAATCAAAGTGGTTATTTCGATAGACTATATATTGATTAAGAAATTAAAATTTGTTTTTTATAAATGAATCAGTCATTGTTTAGTAAGAATTTAAAAGTTATATTACTTTAGAAAAATAATTTCTGAATTTGTCATCTTATTAAAAAAATAGAAATTGAATATTCCCGACGTTGAGATATTATTGAATGTCGTCGCGCAACGAAAATATCGTCTGAATGGAAAATGTCTGCCAGAGAAATATTTTAGTCGCATGATTGATGGCGCGAGAAATTGATTCTCATTTGTAATAAACTTTCGCCCACCGATTTCACGATGTTACGAAAATGATTGCTAACCGTAGAACTCCACTGCCTCAGACACTGCTGCTGTCGTGTAACACTTTCATTAATACATATTCATTCGTTCTCTGTTACAAAACAGAGACTTGTCACCACAGACCAATCCTAGGTTCAGGAACACCGCTTTATGTCTTTATAAAATTCTATACAGTCTGCACCATCTTTCTGACTCCGGACTCAGAGTAGACTAGTTCGGACTAGAGACCACCCTTAGTAATTATTAATTTTGTTCACTATCTTGACTAACTTTATTTCACGCATTTTCTCAACAGTTAATTTAAGCAATATTCCTTAATTACCTAATTACCTTTCTCGTTAATTCTCGTAATTCAAGACCTCTCAAGTTAATTCTTTCACTTACGTCAGCTAAGAGCCACGCGGCGGCTACTTTCATTTCCATCGAGGAGTTTTTAAACATATACCTAAAATAATTTTTAAATATAAATAATAAAATTAAACAAAAAGTTAACTGTTAGGATATAACTAATAATGTAAAAATAATGAAACGGACTTTAATTTAATCAGAACTCGATCAGACGAAGCATTTCGTTAATATTTTCTATATCAACAAAAAAAAAAACAATAACACAGCTATAACTTTGACATAAAAAAATTCTCATCAAGTTCGCTTCACATTTTTTACCAGCGAAGAGAATTGGTACCAATTATCGAGTGAGAGGCAATCAGCGCTCGCTTTGTCTCACTAATTGCTTCACATGGACTGAAAGCTTTTCCATTACGACGCTTCTGTTCAATCAAACGTTTTGCGTAATCATTCTCCACTACATGTGTCTTCTCGTTGGACAACCTCACAAATTGTATGCACAAAATGTGACAGCTTATTTTAGTACAGTATAATGGAATATTCGCAGTATGTATGTATGTATTAATATGTTAAACTAGCTGTTGTTGTAAACAATTACTTAGTAACCTATGGGTTCTTGCATACTATGTTCTACATCTATAACAAATTTCAGCAAAATCCATACAGCCATTCTGGAGATCCTTCTAACAAACATCCATCTATCCAAACATTTGCATTTATAATATTAGTAAGATTTATTATTGTTATGAATTTTCAGAAGGTCGAAGTAAGATGGAGTTCTGTGGTGAACAGTTGTAATATTAAATCCATAATAATCTGTAGTTGAATAATTAGAAAATTAAATTGTTCAGGAAAGAAACAAATAAAACAACTTTCTATTTTATTTCGTATATTCGGTATATGAGTATTCATAAACACATTGCAATGAATCCTCGATCCTGTACATACAATATCAAAGTAAACAATACTATGTATGTATATCAATAAAATGTAAATATATAATTATGATCTATTAAATAATGGTTTGGCACCGAGTGCGCGTGGACGCTACATCTGACACGAGCCTTGCGGACATCGACACCATTCATTCAAATAGTCAACTCTTCTAACTTCACTCAAAGAAGGACTCCAATGTAGAGCGTGATTTGTACTGAACGATGTCCGCAAAACTAACGCAACAGAGACGTGGTGCGGGGGCCGCGGAATTGTGCGCGGGGCGGGGGCGGGGGCGGGGGGTGACAAGTAGGGGTAACTTTAGGGGTAAGTACAGTTCGTTCTAAGCGCGTGTGTCCTGGGCAACTACTTTGTCCTTCGGGAGCAGGACAGACAGGACAGACAGGACAGACAGGACAGGCAGGACAGGGAGCTACGTAGCGCAACGCCTTAACTAACTACCTCGAATTCCGCAGTGGACGGATCGTTTCGTTCTCCACGAGTCCAGGTACAACAAACAAAAGTTTCCGCTTCCAAACACGATATACTTTTTTAAATTGTTTTTTTTTCGTCAAATTGACCGCGAACTTGTAGACGATACAAAAATACACTACGATCTAACTTAGTACCAACGACCGGTTATATATTTTGTATATTCTCTTTGTAACAAACAAACTGACCCGCGCCCGCGACCGCGTCTCTTTATATCCGTGCCACCGGCAGATTGTAAACTTCCTTAGCTTGTATGTGGACAGCAAATTGTTATTGTAACGAGTCGATGATGCACGATACAGTCACGTAACAAAGTAAAGAAGTTCACATTCTGACGGTGACAACATTTATAACAACAATAACGATGAATTATAATCTGTCGAAGACTACGAAGATCATAGAAGACAGAGAGAAGAAGTAAGAAGAAGAAATAAGGAAAGAAAACTACGACAGACAGACAGACGGTTACATAACATCAGATAAATGATTTCTTACAATACTAAGTTTGCAAAAACTGCTGTAGCAAATCTTTTCCATACAAAACTCGCCCGAACTAAACGAGCATCTAAAATTGACATCGAAATTTACATGATTCGTTTTAAGCTATGATACATATCGTATTAGTGAATCACGTTTTACATAAGTTAGTACAAACCACATACATACAAATACATCGATATTCGCTCCCCGAGGAACCTCCAGCTCACAATTACACGATATATTCTAAACTACAATTTTAATTTGGTGTTCGCTTTACCTTCATTTTATACCAAAATATTCAAAAACAATACATCAATCTCAATTTTATTTCTTCAATATAAGAAAAAAACTATTCATATAATAACAATATTTGGCACATTTATTACCTGTTTTACATATACATACATACATACATGCATTGAGAAGTTACAAAATAACAAGATTACATCGAGTGTTACTCAATAACAAATCCGCAGAGACAAGGAATCGAAGGGGAAGTTAAAATGTCTTCGTCTCCTTTGAAGCCAACTGTTTAAGCAAAATTAGCATGGACCCATATTGTGGGTAACAACAAAGATAGGGAAAGACCAAAGAGAGTATGAACAGATTGTGTGAAACAGGATATACGTAAGAAGTGAGGAGTGAATTCAGATATGACGGTATATAAGCAATGTGACAACACCGCGGACAGGAAAGGGATGCTGATAAGAGATGATGATACGAAGACATTTAAACCTCACAAGTCGGACATTTAAATTAAAAAGTAAGAAATTAATGAAAGAATGGACGAAGTTGATACATTACAAGTATTAGAGAGAGAGAGAGAGATAGTTCACTACTTACACGATACTACAGATACGATACAGCAGCACTACGCGGAGACTAGAGATACATAGAGACATCGCACATCTCCTTACACACGATACACGACGCGTCCTGCACCCGCCTCGCCTCGCCTCACCTCACCTCGCCTCGCTTCTCTCAGATACACATTTCTCGGACAATAAACCAAATATTACATCGAAATAATTTGGACGTATTTAGACAAAATTCAAGACATCTTAGTGATATTTGTTGTCGTGTCTTACATCAAATAATAAGTTGAAACTGATACATCGGTTGGAAAATGTATCTATGAAATAACTTCTGATCTTTTACTTATATGAGGCGATTGCTTTACGGGGCGCCCGCGAAGGGCGGCAGGAGCGGCAGGAGCGGTAGGAGCGGCAGGAGCGGCAGGAGCGCGAGCGGCAGCAGTGAGAGATGGGGGCGGGCGCGCAGTGCGGCGGAGTGGTGCGCGCGGCCCGGCTGCGCGTGGCGCGCGGGAGCGGGGGAGCCGCGCCGCGGGAACACGGCCACCGCCCCGCCGTCACTCGTCGCCGCCACACACCACACCTGCACGTTACACACATCGTACATGTATTTGTTAAGTGACGGTGACAATGTTTAGCGATGTAAGTGAAGTGCGGCGGGACCTCGTCGGGCTCGGGCAGCAGCAGCACGGCGCGGTAGCAGGGCGGCGCGGGGTGCGGCGCGGGGTGAGGCGCGAGGTGCGCGGGGGCGGCGCTGGGGGAGGGGGAGGCGCGCAGCCACAGCACGCGCACTCCGCGCCCGCACGCCGCGCACTCCAGCCGCCACCCGCCCGGCGTCGCCGTAGTGCTCACCGCCGTCGCGGTGGCGCCCCCTGCCCGCCGACAGATGCCGCTATTACTTCATTGTATTGACGATTCGCCTTACGTTTTATGTTTTCGTACTCAATACTGTACCGGTGACCCGCAGCGTGACGCGCTTGAGGTCCCGCAGGCGCTGCAGGTCTGCGCCGCGCGCGCCCACGCAGCGGTACTCGCCCGCCTCCTGGTACAGCGCGCCGCGGATACCTGGCGCGTCACAGTTCAAGGTGAACGTCCGTTGTACTGAACACGAATGAAACGGTTGCGCGTGTGGTTCCTGTTGCAGGTGATGTATACTGACCGAGCACGCCGTGCGCGTGGTGCGAGCCGGCGGGCGCCCAGCTCTCGCTGGAGTTGCCCACCACGCGCCGCCACCAGCAGCCCACGCTGCCTGCTCCGACAGATAAACATTATTCAATTATATCATATAATAATTGTTAACCTCCAAGTGACATTTCAAGAAAAGTTTAGAAATAAAAAATATAGTAGCAGAATAGAAAAAGCGGAAAACGGTTACCCTTGGGACAGTGCAGCTGTACGTTGCCCCCGAGCGGCACCTCCACCTTCTGCCGCTCCGGCTCCTCCCCGGCCCTCGCCTCCGCCCCCGCCCGCGCCTGCGCCTGCTCCGGCTCGTCTGATGCTGCTTCCGAATAATTCACTCAGTACTTATATTTAAAAACTGGGACAAACGACAGTAAGCTAGGTACATACCGAGCACGTTGAGGTAGTAGCCGATGGAGGAATAATCGGTGTCGAGCCAGGAGGCGCGGCAGCGGTACCAGCCGGCGTGCGCCTCCGACAGCGTGGGCCAGCGCAGAGTGGCCGCACCCCGCGCCTCGCCCCCGCCCTCCAGCGGCGTCGGCGAGCTGCACAACACGACCACATACATCTAGGCGATAAACCACTATAAGTAAAGACATGCTTGTCCCAAATTTACTATTTTATTAGTTTTTCGAGTCGTGTAAACGTCTAAATGATCTGTAGTCATGTATGTACCTAGACGTGGTGTCATCGTCGCGCATCCAGTGCGCGCGCGCGGGAGGGTTGGAGTCGACGTCGCAGCGCAAAGCCGCCGCGCCGCCCGCCACCAGCCGCGCACCGAACCCCGGCCAACGAGAGATCACGAAAGACGGCGGGTCTGCACAACACCACCTCGTCTAACATCTCTTTGGAAATACAAATGAGTAACACATTAGTAGAGTTATTATTACACATACATGTGACATGTATCTGCAGCTGCGCGCTGAGGTCGTCCTGCGCGGGGAGGTCGGCGGGGAGGTCGGGGGGCGCGCCGGGGGGAGGCGGCGCGGCGGGCGGGGGGTGGCGCTGCGCGGCCGAACACCGCAGCGTGGCGTTGTGCAGCTCGCGCGCCGCCGTCACCACCGTGCGCGACCAGCGCACGCCCTCTGCCGGGTGCGAACGTTTCGTCATATTGGTGACGTAGCAAAGTGATGTAGCGTTACATTACGAAGGCTGGTCTGTACCGACCTACGGAGTGGTTGGTGTGGTAGACGCGCAGGTAGGGCCGGTGGTCTAGCGCCGGCTCCTGCGCCAGCAGCTGCCACGACAGCTCCGGGGCGGGCACGCCACCTGCCGCACGCAACAACGATCGAGCAAAGCTGCTAAGACCTCGGTTAGGTTATTTCCAATTTCCCTTAATGCGGTGTGTTATTGTTATCCCGATCGGTTCTGCTATGAAAAATTCCTAGGCGTGGAACGTGACGCATAAAAAACATAGCAAACCGGATATTTTAGTATTTCTCTTGCCCTCCGGACGAGATAAGTCAGTGCCACTGTACGAAATAAACCCGAAAATAGAACCGGGCGGCACTAATTGCATGGAGGGTGAAATTGTTGACCTAGTTTAAAAACAAAGACTAACTAAGTTGTTCACAAAAATTGAACACGAAATCATTTCAGTTGTTTGTTTCCAGCTATGTTGGGACGAAGATTCTGTAGCCTCGTGTGAGCTCTTTTATTAAAAGAGCAACAGATGTCTTCAAAGGCTGTATTTAAATGATAAACTATTGTAAGCACATGAAGCGGCAGTAGTGTAGTACGCACCCTCGGCGAAGCACTGCACCTCGAGCACGGCGGTGTCGCGTACCGGTACCCACGTGTTGCCGGCGTCCAGCCGCCGCCCGTCCACCGCCAGGTACACCGACCGCACCGCCTCTGCGCCGCACACACGCATACACTTTTACTTTGTTAAGGAATCCTAAAAACAGAAAGTAAAAATTGTACTACTGTAGAATGGTCGGTTACCATATACAAGTAGTCTGGTGGGTCGGCCGGCGCGCGCGCGGCCCTTGCTGTCCTGGCCGGCACAGCGCCAACGTGCGGTGTGCGCCTGCGTGGCGCGCGGGATCTGCAGCGAGCCGTCACCCCCCGCGCCCGCACCCTCCGCCCCCGGCAGCGCCGTCGACAGCAGCGCCGCCTGGTGCATTAAACATAGTAACTTGCAGCACAAATTTTCTGCGCATAAAATAAACGTAAAACAAAATGTTTCCGTCTCACCTCGTTGTCCTTGTACCAGCGTAGGTTGGTGACGTTGACGAGGTCGCAGGGGATGCGCACGTACGAGTGCGCCGCCACCAGCAGCTCGCGCTCGTGCTTCTGGACGACAACAAATAGCATGAACTCTCTGAAACCGAAGCTACTTAGCGTGAAACTCATCGTTGGTCTCACCTGAGAGGTGACGGGCTTCGGCGCCGGCTCGTCGGCGTCGGGTTGCGGCTCGTCCTGCAGCGGCTGGCGCGGCGCGGGCGCGGGCCGGATGACGAATGCGTCCAGGCGCGTGGAGGCGCGCGGACCCGGAGCCGCCCCGGCGTCCCCGATGGCGTCCCGCACGGCGCCGCGGATGTTCAGGATGGTGTCGCCAGTCTTCACACGTCGGGACGTCTACCGTGATGTAAGGAAACATCATTAGCTTGTTAAACACTTCTTTGAAATCCTTGGATATTTTTAATATAGAAAACATTTACCTTTGTCGATTTATCAAAATCTTGACTCCGTTTAATTCTTTCTTGGTTCGTTTTTGTATCTTGAGTGTTGGAATTGCCAGTGTTGTCTGTTACGGTTTGAATTGTTGTATAAAAATCATGAGGACCGCTTTGACCAACCTCCTCATCTTCCACGGTCGCCTCATCAGAAGTAATTAAGACGGAATCTTTTGCATTTATGCTGAAGTCTGGAGCTATCAATATGCCTGGATCGTCGTGCTTATTTTTCCCTAAAGTAATCAAATTGATTTCAGAATTCGTATTTTCCTCAATAATTTTCTTAGCTAATAAATCATCATCATCATCAGGTACATCTACTTTATCAGCCTCATTGAGATTCTCTTCTTCTTGATATTCTTTTGTTTCTCTTATAATTCTAAATTCGTTTTCGTTGACTTTGTCATATTTCGTTGAAGTGAAAAAACTTATATCCTCAGTATCTTCTTCATTATCTTTGGATGTATCAAAAATATCGTTGTCATTTTGATTGTTTACGTAGGAAGATTTAGACAAATTCTCTTCAGGATATACGGGTCTAAGGAAAGGTATCTCATCTTCATTATCTGCTGTAGCAATGATGTCGTTATCATCTTCCGATGCATCGCTATGAGATTTCGAATCGGATTCTTCCGGAGTTACTCGTATATTACTCTCTTCGATGCTCGTCTCGGTATCGTATAATATACTATTAGATTGTTCTGTCAGTTCGGGATTGTCGTTGGTTGAAACATCTTCACGTAGGAGAGGATAGAGAGGGGCATCGCGGAGGAGTTCCGCGGCTTCTTCTAAAGGGGGCGAGCGTTGCGAGCTGCTGCGCTCCGCGAAAACGTAGGGAAGAGAGCCTGCCAACAAAATATAACTTATTTACACAAATGCCTACTGTAAACAAATAGTATTATTAAGTAGTAAAAAATAAATTAAATAAATGAATTATCCCTTAAAGATTGAAGAAGTAGATAAATTTCATAAAATATTTTTAAATAAGGGATGTTGTTAACTTTCATGTCTCAAATGACAGAAGTATTCAATTTTCCACCGAGAAAGTGTAAAAAATCAAGTTAACACAATCATGTGACAATCAGCTGGCGCTGTGGGAGAGAGGCGGGTCGGCTGAAGCGGTTGCCTCATTACGGGGGAATACTTTATAAATAATTCGGTCGCTCGTCGGCTCTCAGCCCTCAGCCCTCAGCCTTCAGCCGCGGCATTTACAATGCAAACCGCTTCGTTAAACATCACATTCAGTTCAAATTACAGCACCGAATACTCTCCGAGGAAAAGAAAACAGACGGAATAAAAATGTATATTCATAAAAACAAAGTCGAGAACACATTAAAGTCTTATCGTCCTGCCAATTTTACTGTTTTTTTTCCTTTTGTGTTTTTGTCTGAATCCGCATGTCGTGTAATACTCGAACGTGCGCTAGATAAGGTATTGGGGAACATTATACAGAGCGGAGAGAGAGAGGGAGAGAGATGAGCGTCGTTCAAAATACTTCGATATTATCATATTGATGGGGCCGAGCCAATAAAATCAGCTTTGCATTATTCATTAGCCGCCGCCAGAACCCGCAAGTTACAGGAAGTCTGGCCGCTTTGATGTTTACCTTATTTAGACCTCACTGCTTTTCATTACCGTTTTGTGTATTTAATTTGTTCATCAAACATTTACAAATAAGTCATCATCATCATCATTAATGAGTTTACGTATTTATATTGTTGTTTTCGTGAGTGGAAGATGTTTACATGCATACATTAAAATAACAGATTTAACACTAATATTATAAATACTTTGTACTCGTTTAGTAAAATATTTAGATTGAGACTAAAATGTTATTTATCAAAGAGCTGATGACCCTGATCAAGACGTGTTTCACAGCAGCAAGGTCAGCGTGCGGTCTGCGGCCGACTCTCTCCTTGTATCGAATATGCTAATGTTATTAGCATTGGATTAGTCAACTTCTAATTAAAGCAAATCCTCTGAGGCAATTACATCTCGAGCGATGTTCGTGTAATACATCAAATTATTATTAATGAAGATTATCTGTGTTAGTATAAGCGAAATTAATCATAACATAATAGAGTGACAACGTAAGCTACACTGCACTCTGAGTGCCATCTCACTGAACGTGTAGCGCTGTCAACTGCGTCGCATTGCAATGTCCATTCCAACATATCTCTCACTGCCACTGAAAGAACAGTTTTAATACTGTCTTACACATTCTTTGTTTCTATTTACGTGCTGTAAATGAACAAACGTCCCTTTACAATTGATTGTAATATGGTGCACACAGAAAAACAATATTCAAACGATGAAAATATTTTATCTAAATTACTTATTCAAGTTACTATTAAATTATATCACACAAAGGATGTATGAAATCTCTTCAGCTTAAACTATCGCATTCCATTGGGAAAACATAACAAACTTCTCTATGATCAGCTATATTTGTGTTTGCGGAACTTTATCCAATCGGGAAGGTTTGCGGAGCGCAGCGCTACAACGATTATCTTTTATTTGATTTGAAATTCTCCCTTTGTTCTCTGCACTATCACTACAATTGCATCAAATAAATTGCTTGTTTACGTCCCGTATTAAAGTTTGACGTAACTTATTTTACAAATATAATAATATAATTTGGGTTGAAGATAATTTTTAGACCACTCGTTTTTATTAACCTAATTATTTTTCATTCATGTTTTACGACGCGCGACGTCCCAATGGTGGCGAAGCCGAGGGGGGCAAAGTCGACGGCGGCGTAGCAGCGTACTGGGCGGCGGGTCGTCGCATTATGCAGATTGAGGCAAATTGGCTTCATTAACATTTCCTGCAGGTAGCGGCCTCGAACTGACGGCACTATCAGCCACTCCTTTATTATCTTTATTATTATTTTATAGCGATTACCTTATTCTTTCCAGACTTTCTTTTAACTCATTATCAAAATGCCGAATATCTTTTTGATATCGAAGCGAAAATGATTAACTCTGAAGCACGTTAGACGATAAAAACCAGAAAAATGGATAAGAATAAATTTTTTATCGATCTAATACAGATACTTAATTCATTAATTAATTTCTTTTCACATTGCAGTTAGTTCATTCAGTTTAACATTGAACAGCTACAGTACAGTTTAGTTACAATACGCGGTAATGTTACTAAATCAGTTGACTGCACATGGCGCGCTGCAGCCTTGCCCAGCCTTTTACCGACGCAATGTCAAAGGTAGTTGCTCGCCGCGACCGCTCTCTACTGCTTTGTTATGATGAAGCGCTTTCACTGAGCCTCACAACACAAAATACTGTCTTAATAGTTGCCTCCATTTATCTCACAGACACGTTTAGTTAGGTACAAAGTAATTTTGTAGCAGCTGTATAATTCAACGAGTCAAAGATTTCTTTATTTATTGTGTAAATAATTGTATTTATTTATGTTACTATTAAGAGCTATTAAAGTCAGTAATACAAACTAAGAAAAAATTATTTCTGATCCTAATCTGAATAACATTTTCGATATTTAAAAGGTTCGTGTCATATTTGAGTCGCTGTGTCTGCGCCCGTCAGGTAAATCAAGCCTGGTGGAGGGCGGGATTGTGTCCGAGGGGGATGGCGGGGGGAGGACGTGACCGGGTATGTTGTCTAGAGCCACACATGGCTGACGAAGATCTTATCTTCTCTTATGTTTTTTAAAACCGATGATTCAAACAAGTAGCCAAGTCATAACATCTAACATAAGAAAAAAAGGAAAAAAGTATAGAGTCAGGGAACTCAATGTTTTTATTAACATTTTTATTCTATACAATTATAAAAGCATCTAAATACTGTAACAAAACAGTACAAGTTCGATTTTCCGATTGCATGCAATCAAATAAAGCTCTCCGCAGCTTTGAGCTTTGAGCTCGTAAGCCCCGCGCAGAGAGCGACCGAATTCACCGCGAACTGCCACTTTACATAACATACAACAACAATGCTAAATGTTCATTTCATCTCCTATATCACTCATTCGTGTATTAACATTACTATTTTAAAGAAACTTGTGATATTTTTTGGTTTTTATGTTATATATAAAATTCTCGTGTCACAATGATAGTTACCATACTCCTCCGAAACGGCTTCACCGATTTTGATAAAATTTTATATGCATATTCTGATCTGAGAAACCGTAAGTATTTTTTTTTGTAATCCAACGCGGACGAAGACGCGGGCATACAGTACTACATAAAATAATAAATATTAAAATAAACCTAAACAGATGCATAAACTAAAAATGCGAACATAATCAACTCATTATCAAGTTCATAACTAAGACAAAACTCTTTCTATATAAATATTAAATTAAAAAGATACGACGATACGTAGAATACAATATAGTATAAACATATAAATGTAATTTAGGTACATAAGCTGCATCTCTACTAATGTTAGCAGTATTGCAGATTGAATGTGGACGTGATCAACGAGTCAGCTGCGAGACATTAACAGCTCGTCTGTCAAACTCACTGGAGCGGAGCGAACAGTTGAATCTATATGTACATGATGCACAAATCACATAAACATATTATATACACATAACATACATGTCAGTGTTCCAGTAACGTATGTCATTTGACCTAAATCCCAACGGACCAATTCGTACGTCACGTAACTTGCAATAACTCGATGCGCATCGGATATTCCAATCGAAGTGTAAATTTCATTTGGTTAACCGTTGATTTATTATATAATTGGATTCATATAATGATCACATTAATTACCTTATTACTATTATTAGGATAGTTTTAAGAACAAAATGGATATAATTTAATAGATTCCTTGCGACCTGCACTGTTTCGAAATAAGCTTTTATCAATCCATTTAATAAAATAAAGTATTAAAAAAACGAATAATTTACTAAAATATATTATTAAAAGGAGTCCCTTTAGGCAAGGTCCCAAAGAAACTGGCAGCGTTCCCCCTTTGAACAGCTAAACTAATTCTTTGTCTGAGGTAGCTGCCAGCTCTTCGGTCCCCTGTGATGTCGATTTGGTTTTATTAGATTCGTACTTGTCCCAAGAATATCGTAACTGTAATGATTAGGTAAATAGTCAATACAGTTAAGTTTAAAAAATACCATATCAATGACTATTTTATTTCGTATACTTATGAGTGTAGCAAACAGACTTAATTAAAAGTTCAGTGATATTCAGTAAAGCGATGAATTCCTTAACGAATGAAATCTGTCATAGATTGTCTAATCATTTTAATACGACAGCACAAAAGTTATAACTCGTTGACAGACAAAGTGACGTCATGACGTCGTAGAGGAACAGAGTATGAAGTGCTCTGATAGCAAAACTTCAAACTAATTTGATAACTTATAATTTGAATAGAGGCAGTGTTTCTCAAGTTAAATCACTTTATAAAACTATAATAAACGTATTGTCTCTTTAATCCATAGACATATAATTAAATTAGGTATTTATAATAGATGTTATCGTACAAAATGGTATATACAGAAAAATAAAAGCTTCACATCTCTTCCATCTTATCTAAATTTACCGTCAGTTTCCACTGTACAAAAACATGTTTTTAATAATAAAAGGAAGTGCCAGCAAGCTTTGGGAATTGTTGTGACGACGTAATATTTAAGACTTCAAAATACCGATGTATTATTAAAGAAATAAAATAGATCGCAAATACTGTCAAATTAATCACGTAGCTTTAGTCTCCGGGGGCGCGGGGGGTTGCGAGGGTACACAGCGGGGCGTGGGGGGTGGGGGGGTAAGGTTTGTGTGAATATCTCTCTAATAACATTGAAAGTTTAATACGGCAATGCAATTTGTAGAGCATTCAATATCAGAATGATTGCT